TTTATTATTTCTAATTTATTCTGCGGTGTTCTATAATTAAAGTATACCCTATTATAACTGTAGTTAGCAGTAGTGGTTAGAATGTTTAATGTATCTATTTTTATTATTTCTAATTTATTCTGCGGTGTTCTATAATTAAAGTATACCCTATTATAACTGTAGTTAGCAGTAGTGGTTAGAATGTTTAATGTATCTATTTTTATTATTTCTAATTTATTCTGCGGTGTTCTATAATTAAAGTATACCCTATTATAACTTTAGTTAGCAGTAATGGTTAGAATATTTAAAGTATCTATTTTTATTATTATATTTTTAGTATAGAGATTCTGCATTATTGGCTCGTATGTAGTTTTAGGACTAACCTAAATCTCCTAAGCTCTAAGAATATAAATAAGGATCTTGATTAAATCTGTGTCGACAGAACTGACAAATAATAAATAGATTTGTGACAGAAATTCCATCAGTAACTGGAGTACAAAATATTCTGTTATTAGTTCAAGAAATTCACAGCTAGCTTAGTTACGTATTTTATTACTCTTTCCAAGTTGAGTCTAAGAACAATGCTATAAAATATATTTCTGTCAGTGAGTGTTGAGCTTCAACCTTCTGTTTCTTCAAAAATCTACAGTGAAGTCGACATTTTTTTACCAGTTAGATTTCAACAGACTCTCTCTGTTAAAAATCCTGGTTTTATTTAAAACATTCCTGGAAATAATAAAACTGAAACTCTCACCTTTACCTCGTTTTCTTTTGCCAAGATTCCCGCTGGGATCTGGACTTACCTTTACCTCGTTTTCTTTTATCTAGACTCTCGCTAGGGTATGGACTTACTTCCGCTACGTTTTCTTTTGCCAAGATTCCCGCAGGGATCTGGACTTACCTTTACCTCCTCGTTTTATTTTATCTAGACCCTCGCTAGGGTATGGACTTACTTCCGCCACGTTTTCTTTTGCCAAGATTCCCGCAGGGATCTGGACTTACCTTTACCTCGTTTTCTTTTATCTAGACTCTCGCTAGGGTATGGACTTACTTTCGCCACGTTTTCTTTTGCCAAGATTCCCGCAGGGATCTGGACTTACCTTTACCTCCTCGTTTTATTTTATCTAGACTCTCGCTAGGGTATGGACTTACTTTCGCCACGTTTTCTTTTGCCAAGATTCCCGCTGGAATCTGGACTTGCTATACCCAGAATGCCATTAATGGAGTAGGACGGTGTCTGTTCCGGTGAAACAGTGGCGGACTGGGTGATTACCGAAGATGCGTTGGACGGACTCTGGCTGGATGAGCTTATTATTTTTTCCGTAACTTTGTTACGCACAATCCTGAAACAGGCAAGGGTTTCTTTTACTGGCGTTAACTAGACGGCACAACTAGGCTTATGGTGAGAATCGTTTATAACACAACAAGGCTTATGGTGAGACTAACAAGTAGATTGTTTTTAGAGACTGAGGCTTGACGTTCACGTGACTAACAAACGTTTCTGTGAAGGTAGATTGTGTTGAGAGACTGAGACTTGACGTTCACGGGACTAACAAACGTTTCTGTGAAGTAGGTTGTTTTCAGAGACTGAGGCTTGACGTTCACGGGACTAACAAACGTTTCTGTGAGGTAGATTGTGTTGAGAGACTGAGGCTTGACGTTCACGTGACTAACAAACGTTTCTGTGAAGTATATTGTTTTTAGAGACTGAGGCTTGACGTTCACGTGATTAACAAACGTTTCTGTGAAGTATATTGTTTTTAGAGACTGAGGCTTGACGTTCACGTGATTAACAAACGTTTCTGTGAAGTAGATTGTTTTTAGAGACTGAGGCTTGACGTTCAAGAGATTAGAGTCTTAAAAATGTGAAGGTAATTTAAGCAACAACTGGACTAACAAGAATATGTGAAGGTAATTTAAACAACAACTGAACTAACAAGAATATGTGAAGGTAATTTAAACAACAACTGGACTAACAAGATTATGCTTAGGTAATTTAAACCACAACTGGACTAACAAGATTATGTGAAGGTAATTTAAACCACAACTGGACTAACAAGATTATGTGAAGGTAATTTAAAGAACAACTGGACTAACAAGAATATGTGAAGGTTATTTAAACAACTAGTATATTGAACTACGATGAAATATATTTAACTGACAACACTAGTTAAGGTCCGACTTAATGATGAAATACATTTAACTGACAACACTAGTTAAGGTCCGACTTAATGATGAAATACATTTAACTGACAACACTAGTTAAGGTCCGACTTAATGATGAAATACATTTAACTGACAACACTAGTTAAGGTCCGACTTAATGAATTTCCTGTATTGTACAAATATGGACCTTGAGATTTCACAGTTCCAACTTCAGTTTCTACATATATATTGCCGTGGCTATGTGTCTAATCCACGCACAATTTCGTTTAAAATTCGGCGTGAAGATTTTCCTTAAAGGTCCATATCAGTCTTCGTGGGTATATATTAGCAAGTTTTATTATTAACTGTATAAAGCAAGTATTTTTTTTTCACTCGTCCCTCTTTATTGGTAAGTTATCAAGCTTCTCATTAGCTTAAAATGTTATATCAGAATTAGCAATATTAATTGTTACGAAGTGTACGGTGGTGGCATCTGTTATAACGTCGATTAACTAACTTATCCGAATTTTTCTTGTGTTTGGTATATAAATAGGAAAGACTAATTAATCTATTTTGTAACAAGTTCGGGGCGATATAATATAGAAGGATCTATAAAAATGTAACTACAAAAGATACTGATGACTTTAGTGCGAGTTAAGGATGAGTGACTTGAGGTGTAGTTTAACTATTTGTTATTGTAGGTGGAGAATCGTTACCAGAGACTTTAGAGAAAAATACTTCTTGTAAACTACGTTAGAATAGTATTAAAAGTTGATTTCTCTACGTTTAAGATGTAATAGAAAACTTTGATTTGTACAGATAGGTAAAAATAAAGTCTATGTTCAGTTTGACACACTCAAATTTCACATTTTCAGCACTGTATGATTGATAAATGTTAGTATTTTTGCAAACGGAAAAGTCCATTAGTTTTATATGCAAAGTAAAACTTAGTTTTACAGTTAATCTAAACTCTAGTGTTAGAGATAAACCGAACACTTTGGTTTACGTATTACCCTAACTCTAGTTTTACTGAAAACCTAAACTCTTTGACCACCTACCTGTTGATAGAGCTCACGCTAGGGATATTGTCTTGGTTACAGATCTTATCAGTCAGGAGCCTGTCTCGGATCTCCCAGGCAAACATAGTAGGATTTTTCATCTTATAGTTAGTAATAGCTTCTACCACGTAGGTAGTCGCCACTTTCGGTTTACTACCTCCGATGACGCCAGGTTTAATGGATCCGGTTTCATAAAACCTCCGAAAAAAGAAAAAAAAAGAAGATTTTGATTAATTAAGTCAGAAATGTAATAGACTGACTTTTCAATTCTTGAAATTTAGGTTTTGTTACAGATAATAGACTGACTTTTCAATTATTGAAGTTCAGTTGTTGTTACAGAATTGATGATGGCGAAATCTCTGAGTGAAATTGTATAATGAAACTTTAAACACAATCCCGTATTCCAGCAAGTTCCAGAAAAAGATCCACGCCATCTTTACGTTGAAAATATTATTGTGATTATGTCCTCGTTGTGGCTGTATCAGTTTAATATGAACGATGCCTTAGAGAGACACGGTTTTACTTTTAAAAATGAAAATTTTATAATTCTTTTAACAGCTACACTGTTCTTACACGATTTTATAATAATATCTATAAACGTTACACAGAGTTTGTAATAAATCCTGTCATCATCTGGACAGTTCTTACCAGATATCATACATCAACTCCTGCAGGTTTTACACAGCCAAGGCCAATGATAATAACAATAACGATATATTTATTTAAGGTAATCTGTAACTATCATTCGATGGTACTTCAGGTGTTACAAATCTGAAGTCAACCAAAATGCCTACAACACAACTGCTAAACACCAATATGTGATGTGACACATAAGTGTCTGGAACTTCGAGAATGTTCTTCACCGTAGCCAGTATAATCCAATATGTGATGTGACACATAAGTGTCTGGAACTTCGAGAATGTTCTTCACCGTAGCCAGAATAATCCAATATTTTGCTGACAACGTCGTAGAGATCAACTTTTGGAACCAAATACTTTTTTATTTTGTTAAAATCAAGACTTTTCGAGAGCTGCTGCTCATTTTTCGAACAATGCCAACAAGAATAGCGATCTGTAACCATTCAGCACGATCAACCCGTTTAATCTAGGTAATAAAAAATGCTTTGAACACCGGATTATTCACAAAATGCATTAAAGAGGCCAAGAAATGGCAAACATTGTTTTTGATCTGGGGGTCCGTTTTATACATTAGTTGCTAATCGCGAGTACTCCAATCCAATAAAAAATGTCACAAATCTTTAAGAAATTCCAACAGAACCAGGTAGAAATTGAGGACTAAAAAGGACTATTTTTTTTTCAAGAAATCTGGTTTGTTATTTTTATCCTGATTTGAAACGTTTTCCTTCAGTGGCATAACGAACATGTCACGCCGAAATCCTTATGTTATTATATTTTGGTAATCAAAATTTTAAAAATCAAAGCATGAATACGTTAGTATCCAATATAAATATGACAAAATCTTCTAAATCATAATACAGATTTGTTAAAACTTTGAAAATCGCGGCAGGTCAAGATCAAAACTTTAAAAATCACTTACAGCTAAAAAAAAGTTGGATGAAACCGTTCCACCAATAATAATGTGCACAAAAAGCAAGGGTGAAATTTTGTCAAGTAAATCTGTTTATTAGAACATGCTTTACAGATACATGAGTAGATCTTGAAAATTACAGCAGATACAAATCGAAATCTTGAAAGTCAAGACAGATACAAGTCGTAATCCTGACACTCAAGACAGATACAAGTCGAAATCTTGAAAAACAAGACAGATACAATTCTAAATCCTAAAAATAAAGACAGATACACATTGGAACCTTGAAAATTACAAGAAACAGAAGTAGAAATCCTGAAAGTCACACAGATACGAGTTGAACGTCTTGAAAGATAAAAGTCTAACTCCTGAAAATCACAAATTAATTAATTATTTCCAGTTCGATGCGAGGTTGGGTTTTTCTCAACTATAAAGTTATTTGAATGTAAACTCAGTAATTATACTTTTCACGGTTTTATATAATCGCAGATAGAAACAATCATACTCGCAGTTATAAAACGTTTAAAATGTAGATGATGTAATTTGTTCGGTACAGTGTTTGGAACCCAACTATCACCGATACGGATACCATTCACGGCGTCACATGAAAAGCGGAGCCTTCATATCGTCACGCATTTCCTGTCTACATGTGGGGTTCTTCCCTCACCGACGGTTTGGGAGGGTGTCTGAGTAAATCATCGCGCCTTTATATAATGAAATCGAACCCCTTGGGGCTGGAGTATTTGCTACAATTTATACAACGTTTAAACGCTTACAATAAAAAGGTTGATCTTGGGCCTGTGTCAGTTTCATTTGTAATGAAATATTAGAAGAGAGGTCAATACAGATTGTTCGTTACAACTCTTTGTGCCCCAACCGTGATTGAACAGTATGCTCGGGAGCTTAAAATGCTAAAGTTTGGGGTTCGATTCCAGCAATGAGCACTACCCATGTAGCCCATCGTACAACTTTGCGCTAAACAACAAAAAGTATCTGACCTTGACATGAACTCATTTGAGTTCAGATAGTTAGCGTGAGTGTGAGAATATGTAGTATAACTTTTTATTATAACTCTTGAAAATTAAATTTATTATAACTGTTTATAATATATAACTCTTGAATGTTTATCTTGATTACAAGTAAACCATTAAAAAATGATGTTCAATTTTTACTAACCTGTGCATTTAGTCGACTTAACATTAACTGAAGTAAAAAAAGAACCTAAGATCTGTCTATCACCTTACGTGCTTCTAACTGTATACCATGAGTTAGCTTTAAACCAAAACTACACGTTATTATGGTCAACTATATTCTATGAGTTAGTTTTGAACCGAAACTACACGTTATTATGGTCAACTATAGTCTTTGAGTTAGTTTTGAACCGAAACTACGCGTTATTATGGTCAACTATAGTCCTTGAGTTACCTCTGAAATGAAACTACACGTTATTATGGTCAACTATAGTCCTTGAGTTAGTTTTGAACCGAAACTACGCGTTATTATGGTCAACTATAGTCCTTGAGTTACCTCTGAAATGAAACTACACGTTATTATGGTCAACTATAGTCCTTGAGTTAGTTTTGAACCGAAACTACGCGTTATTATGGTCAACTATAGTC